ACTCTGGAATGGCTACAGCACAGCTCATCCAGAGTGAGTGAGCTGCTGGCTCCCTGCATTTGAAATTCCTGATTGCTCTAACCCAGGGACTGCTGCAAAGAATCTTATCATGGGAGACATTTTTATCTGTATCTGGAAGTCCTCTAGCGACTGAAGGTAACTTATTCACAGGCATTGGGTTAATCTGTAGTTGAACCTTTAAGGATGGTTCCACAATCTGCAGCCCTGAGAGCTGAGGCAGGGGAGAAGCGTGAAATATTCTAGTCCTCAAGACAGGAGAGGAGTACTCAAATAACCCATGCAAGTAACTCTGTGCCATCTTGGGCTTAATCTGACGTGATATTTCTGTCACCCAACTGCTCTCACAGGTTACCAGTTTGATGAAAGATGCCAAGGACTGCTTTCTGTTACCAGCTCTTAGATGGGTTGGTCTGTATTATGCAGAATACTAAACCATGTTTTTGCCCGAACAGAGACACAAAACTTGTAAGCTTTGTGCTGTGCTTTATTGAGGGCCCGGGAGTCTGCGGACCGCAGTCCCAAATCAGAGCTCCAACGCCACCGATACATCAATCTCCTTATATATGATATGTGTACGTGCAGTCTGTTACAGATTCTCTAAGCAACGACTCCCAACAATTCCCCTTTCTTAGCGACTTGCTCCTCGTGATACTTGTGATACATTCCTTAAGCTACAAACAAGACTATAAATCAGGTACTTATCATTATTTCCAGAACATTGTATACAAATCAGCATTCTTGCTTCCTTCCCCTGATTAAACATTCGTTACGGTTGCTTGAATTCTATAGTTACACTCTTACAACACATTCCAAAAGTTACAACACACTTCAAACGGTTATAAATTCCTATCTTACCTACACATTATATTTTTTAAATTTTCTACATTTAATTATTTTCCAACAATATGATCACACTGACACTGTAAATTCATGAAACTCGGCAACCTTTGCAGAAGGAAAACTGACCAGGGCAAATGCCTCTGGGTTGTTCTGAGATCCAAAATTTAGGACAGAAATAACCAATAACTTGGTGGCATTTTGAATTTCCATTCTATTTTTGAAATTAACTGTGTTAAAAACTGTTGCTTGGAGCAGTTTGAAAGAGTTTAAATATTATATTTAGGGGAGTGGTGGGGGCACAATGGTGAAGAAGAAATACTGGTCGAAAAGTTCTGAAAAAGTTTTGTGTTGACCTACCAGACAAACACAGTCTGGACACCAGCATTATTACCTTAATTGATCTCAACCCTCTTCTGTTTAGAGTGGGATAATGGTTCAGTCATTCCCTGCATTACCAAACAGTTTGAAGCCTCTGCTGGGATGGTGTTTACAGCTCCAGTAATGTAGTGGTAGATGAGTTTCTCTAGCAGCTGAATTAACATCAGTATGTTAGTTGGTAAGGTTCTGAAAATTGAATAGAGAAACATCAGTGTTTTCAGCTGGTATTTCTCCTGTGGCCTAGGTTAAAAGTTTGTCTTGTAATGGAGAGAAGGGGAAGTATTATGTGCTAAGGTGATAGTATGGAGCAATGATCAGCAGATATGGGAAGGAAACTGAGCAGCTAAGTGAGTCAGTAAGAGGAGGTGCATGTTTGATGCTGTGAATGCTTAGCTGCTCAGGGTGAAGCTATCTCTAGTTTCCTTATCTCCAGTTTGTTTGTCATCCGACCTTTGCAGGAACAGGGGGTTGCCAGCCACAGTTGACAGCTGCCGAATCCCCTGAGCATCTGTGCTTGTGTTGATGGCATGGCAGAGGTTTGCCCTGCATGGTTCTAGCTGTATCCTTCTGCTGATCCTTTTCTTAGCACTCTCTTGGAAGATGTCAGCTACTTTTCTTTAGGATTTTCAGCAAGCATTTCCTTTTGGTCAGAGAAATATAGGATACATTGCATCTGTCCCTGGAGCAACTTTGTGGTGGTTTTTGTTTTCTTGTGGCCAGCTATAACTCTTGCAATGGTGGCTTACAGCTAAAAAAACCCCCACTCACTGCTTTGCTCTATAAATACCATTCCCAGTTATTGGGGCAAAGGGCAGAGCAAAGCTGCAGTTGCATTTTGTCTAAGTTTGTGCTGAAGGCTGCAAATGCTCCATAAATTGCAGTTACCCTACTGAGTGTATGGAAGGGAAAGCTTGCTTTGCTTCCTATTTCAAAGACTGGAGTGAGCATAGCTAGTAATTCTTCTGAAGGTAAGGGTTTTGTAGCATTTTTCTGAGAAGGCTTTCCAGCAGAAGAGTAGTTCTGATTCTTGCTGCTGTTGATGATTTTGCTCTCATAGGAACCTCCAGGACTTGGATCTTTAGGCATCTTGAACATTGTTCTCTTCTCTGTGAAACAACTAGGGAAACATCAGAAGTATGAACTCATCACTGCCTATAAATTCACTCTTTTCCTAATTTTTATTGCTAAGTCCAGGCAATTGAAGACCTTTTTCTTAAGTTCAAAAGCTGATTGTCACCTCTATTTAGGTATATGCTGATGTAGTTGCACTGACTCAGCATAGTCATTCTCCTACGTTTGTGAGAGTGGGTTTAAATAAGTGGTTCGTGTATAAATGCCCAGCAATTGCAAGTATTGTCATTTTGGGCCATGAAAATCTTGAGTTTCTCAGTAAGATACTGTCTTCCTCTGCTGAGTGGACACCATTGCTCCCTGGTAGAGCTGGCAGGGCTTCAGTGCCCTCTGAGAACTGCCATGCCAAGTGCTGTACCATGCCCTATTTGCCCACCCTGGTTGACAGTGGTCCCAAAACTATTTTCGTGTGCTTAAGTCCCATTAGAGCCATGGGGAAGTAAGCATAAGCCCAAAATTATGGAAATGGTCAAGTGATGACCTGAATTCAGCCAATAATCTTTTTCTGCTTTAGGCTTTGGTGATAAAAGTGATATTGAACAGCTTGCTGCATTACCACCAAAAATCTTTGCAGAATTAGAAATCTGATGGACCTTACTAGAAATTAGCCTTTTTGGTTCCAGAAAAGCCGCAAATAGAACAGGAGTTTTTCTCCCTTCCTTCTGTAAGCTTTTACTTTGTATCTTGGCTCTGTGTCCCTTTCTACTATTCTATATAAATCTCTTGTTTGGGCAGGTATCTGATAACTTAAATATTAATTTCTGACAAATAAGCATTTGTTGTTTTCTTGCTGATGCTTCTAATCTATAAAAGCAACCTAGCAAAAAGGGATAGGAAAACGTATAAGAAGGCAAGGTTGTGATTTGGGGATTTTTTAAAGCTCTTTGCACACTAGCTGTCTTTTTATTTAAATACTATTCTTAGTTTGAAACTTTAATTCTGGGCGTACATTTGGTGCCCAGATGGTGCAGACTCACACAGAAGCCCATCACGCTGTCAGGGCAGGCGGATACATATGTAAATATTTTGCCTTTTCCCCCTATAATATTTGGCTTTGTCTAATCTAATTGCTGTCAAAGGCAGAATGTGAAGAATACTTACAAGAAGCCAACAATGAGGACCTCAAATGTTTATACTGCACTAACTCTGGAAGATGCTGGTAGGCTGTGATGTAATTAATAACTTGTTTCATGTGTTTTTTTCATGCTGTGAATTCATGGTCTATAATCTAAGTTCATGCCAAGTAGTATCTTACAACCCTTAGTAGAAACCTGTATTTGTAGTGGTTTAAAAGCATTTTTAACCTTGTGGAACTGTCGATATAAGGCTAATGGGTCTGCCTTTTCAGTTTGGGCTGGCAGTAAGAGTCCTCTACCTGCCTTTTTGTGTATAGTGCTCTTTATTATTTATATAATTAATTGCTTCATTTAATTTATTCTATTGAGTGCTCATCTTAATGTATTTTTAATACATAAAAGCATTTCCAGCATAGCTGTTTCTCTGACTAGTGGTAGCTAGTAACAAAAACAGCATGGCCAACCACATTAAGGATACCTATGTAGTTATAAAACCTGAGCCAAAATAACATAATGGTAGTGGGAAAATGATTTCCATGAGCTTTGACTCTGACAGCTTAGTGAGAAGGTCTAATAAAGCCAGTGTTAGCTGAGAATGCTGGCAAAAGCAATGTAGGAAACCTGACTGGCTTTCATCAATACAAGAACAGTTACACAGTTACAGGTGTCTGATCAGATGTGAAATTTGGCTAGGCTATAATTCATGGAAGGCATCAGACTACACCAGACTCTCTTCTAGGGACACAAACTATGCAGAGAGATGCCAGGAGATCAGATCCTGGAGGGGCAATTATTGTATAGGAAGGAAAGTATTTGTAAAAGGAAATGTAATTATGACCAGAACATATCAGAAGCAGCACATGGTGCTTTTTTCCATGGAACATAGTGAAATCCTGAGGAAAACACAGAGGGGAAAAAAACTTGCCCATTTCAACCACTGATATTGCCATCTGAGCCTCGTTGTTCAGGGATAGCCAAGGAATTCTGTCTCTGAACCTGCTGTAAAAGTGTCTAGGTACGTTCAGGAGGCAGTGTAATGTGTCCCCCTGCTGTGGGATGGAAAGGGTTAGGAAGCTGTTTGCTATCTATACGTATAATTTTTCTGTGTTGCTTTTTTATTTAAGGAAAGATCAAAGGTATTTGCTTTCTGTATTTCCTGAAGTATGGGCATTGAGTCATGACCATGACTGCACAGAAAGTTAAGACATTAATTTATAGCTTCTATACATTAACTGCATGGCAGTTGCTAGCTCGCAGTTCAGAGAAGAATTTGCAACACAAAGATCTCATGGTGAAAGCAGGCACTAGCAGCTACTCCAGGGCCAGTCTGGAAGGTCCCTGGAATGTGTGAAAGATAAACTTCCTGTATCATAACTTTGGATCTGAGCTTACATGTCATGGGCCAGAGAGCGTGCTGGTTGTCACAGTGGGCAGGAACAGTAGGGATTGCTTTACTCCTAGGCTTCACTTTTGGTTGTCAAACACATCTGGCCTATAGCTGGCAGGACAAGTTACATTCATCTAACCACACTTTTCTGCATTTTGCCTTCCCAGGAGCAATTGAGCGGTGCTCGTACATCAAGTACCACTACTCCTCAGCCACCATCCCCAAGAACCTTACGTACAACATCACCAAGACAATCCGCCAGGATGAGTGGCACGCCTTGCGTAAGTGTTGCTGCTTTTCTTCACCTTCTCCTCGTGTGCAGGTGGGAGGTGCTTCCTGATAAATGAGAGCAGAGGCTTTGAGTGACAGCCTGCTCAGAGCTCTCATCTCACATACAGTTTGTCTTTGTAGCAGACAGATCGATTTGTTCTTAGGATCTACATCTGTTTCTGCTGCTGACTGGAAATTCTGCTGAGGCATGTGAATGCAGCAGTGGGGAAAAGACATTTGTATGCAGAGATTAATACTGAGTTAAATACAAAAATGAATAACAAAATCAATGCCCTATTTTTTAATTCAGTGGAATGCTCTGTACGTGAGCACATTCTTATGCCATTGCTGCGGAGTTTCCTGCTTCCAGGAGAATTCATTGCTGGCTTTTATTGTAGAATATGCCCACTGCCAGCAGCTCCTGTGTGAGTGTGGCATCACTCTCCTTTGAAGATCTTGAAAGAGAATTGCTGCACCCTTTAAGGCACAAGGAAGGAGCTTAGCCCTCCCTCAGTGATAATTGTAGCCAGTGGTCACCAACTTGTAATGCTTGCTGAAGTGACAAGATCTGACAGGGATGGAATTGCCTTGGGATGAACTGGCTGACCTTAAATCTTGTCTCTTTGTCATCTTGGAGATGGAAAAGGGTTTTCACCGATAAAATGCATGAAGTAGAATTTCACAAGGAAGGATACCACTGTGACTGTCCTTGTTACTACATAGTTGTGGGGACTGATGAATATCCTCTGTTTTGGTGGAAGCAGTTAAATCTCCTTGGAGGTGGCAGTGGTTGAGGCAATACTGGTTCTGGTTGAGAACCTTGAAAGGTGATAGAGAGCTTCTACTCTGTCAGTTTGAGAACTGCCAGACCTCTGGTGTTCCCATGGCTTTCCGTATGTTTCACTTCTCCCTTGTGTGGCTCCTGCTTTGAGAGGGTGCTTTTAAGCTCAGAGGAGGAGAAGGTGCAATGCTATAATTTATTTCCTGCATAGGTGAGATTCATTGATGCTTGTAGGCCTTCCTGGTACACTCTGGTCAAGAGTTAAGAACATTCTAGAGGGTCTTGCTAAATGCCTGCTGGGTTTTTTTTTAATGTGTCTATCTGGATAAACACCTATTTTTATTGTGATATGACAAAAAAAAAAAACCAAAAAAACCCAAAAAAAAAAAACAAAAAAAAAAAAAAAAAAAAAAAACCAAAAAAAAAAAAAAAAAAAAAAAAAACCCAAACAAAAACAAAAAAAAAAAAAAAAACAAACCACCAAAATAATTGAACTTATGCCTCTCCACAGGTTGTAAGAGGCTGGTCTTGCAAAATACTGTGTTATGCTAATTTGTCCCTGAAATCAGAAGATCAGAAGCTTCAGTTCACTTCAGGTTTTCTCCTACCACTTGTCTTCTCTGCTGGTGTTAATTTCATGTTGATGTAAAATGTAACAGTGCTTATCTATGAGCAAAAAAAGAAGTGTACCCACCACCCAAGACATCTTCTGTCAGGGCTTATAGGGCAGTAGAAAGGGGCTTTGGTTTATGCTTTGTGTATGTGTGGTTTTGCCACTGTTGTGAGTAACAATGACTTTTCTGCAACCATATGCTGGGAATCTCACTGTTCAAAAATTATTTTCTAAAATTATTCTTTATCTCAGCAGTGGCTCACATAAAAGGTTATATAACTGGTCATCTAAGGCTATGTGAATCCTTTGGTCAGGATCAGCAAGTTCCCGAACTTTGAGTGTTGGTAGGGCATTTGTCAGTCTCCAAAGGTGCAATCTAGACACTGCTCACATATTTATGTATCTGGTATGGCCTGAGGCACTCTCAGGGTGAGGCTGCTTGTCTCTTCCCTGTAGTGGGTACATTGAGTGTACCTCATATTTCTGACCCAAGTTTTCTTGCCAGTTTCAAGAGTCAGATAAGTGTAGAGAGATGCAGATAGAACTGACGTTTGCATCTACCTATCTGAAGGCAGAGGAGTAGAGAAATACTTTGCTGAGGATCTCTTCTCCTGAGCAGTTGGTGCAACAGAGTACTTTGATAGATGCGGTAATCCTACTGGTGGTTCTGGATGTCACTGCATTTAAGAATGAACTGAATCTATATGACTATTTCCGGTGTAGAAACAGTAACCTGTTTTAAAAGACAAGGCCAATACCCATCTCTCAAATTGTGGTTTGGTTGAGGGGATTTTTCTTTCTTTGCATTGCAGTAGACCAAGTAGGATAAGTCTCTTCAGGAAGTTATTGTGATTTTAGCCCCTGCCTTAGCAGCTGATCCTGTGTTGATGACTCTGTGTGTGTGGTGACACGAGGCTTAACTCCATTTCAGAAGGCTGATTTATTATGTTAAATATTATATTAAAATGCTACATTAAGACTCTACTAAAAGAACAGAGAGATCAGAAGGCTACAACAAGAATAGAACAGAATAGAATAACAAAAATCCTGTGACTGCTCACAGCCTTGGCACAGGTGGCTGTGATTGGTCATCAATGGAAAACAATCCACACGGACCAATGGAAGATGCACCTGTTGCATTCCACAGCAGCAGATAGTAATTGTTTACATTTCTCTCCTGAGGCTCCTCAGCTTCTCAGGAGGGGAAAAATCCCAGCAAAGGATTTTTCATAATATCATGGCTACAATCCTGTTCTATGCATCTGGACTTGTTTCATCCAGGACACAGCTACTTTATATCAACACTGATCAGTCTGATATGTCCAAGTCAACCTGGCCATTATTTTCCTCTGAATATTTTCCTGTTCATATCAATGACTGTTGTGACAAACAGCAAAAGAACTGGGGCCCAGGCCTGGCTATCTTCTTTCTCTTGCCATGGGTTATTTTTCAGATCTGTAGCATGAGATAGGGGGGGAAAAAAATTTATTTCCTGAAGAAATGTGGGGGCAAAATGGCATCTTGGAGAACTTCAGAGGAACTGGAAAGGTGAAAGCAAAATATTTGGTCATCCTAGTAAACAAAAATGTAAAAATGTCTCTTGCAGGCTGAAGCCACTGTTACCATTTGCTGTATTTGCATTTGAGTAATGTATTTTCTTTTTCTTGTGGATGGACAGCCAACTGTGGTGCCTGTGAGAGAAATCTGTTGTTTTCAATGTACAGTGGGTTGGGAATCAGAGGAGAGAGGGCTCCCATCATGGACTGCAAACTGCTTTTTTTGGACTGGTGGAGCAGGATTGATGCTCCAGCAGTTTTTCGTGAATTGCAGGAGTGGGTGTGGGGACAATTAATTTGAGGCTGAGGACCCCATGGCACCGTTCAACACACAAAGCAGATATTCCTGTAGCTGTGCTGTTAGCTATGCTGGAAGAACCTGAGAGAGCACTTGGTCCTAGAGGAATGGTTGGACCTGACTTTACCATTTTTGATTTTATCTTTTTTTCATTCTGTTTGACATTTTCAAGATGGAACCTTTGCTCCAAATTGATTGCCTATGGCAGTATGAGCTGGGGAAATAGGACTTGTCTTCACTGCAATCACTTCATCTCAACTATCTCTGGTTAAACAGATAGAGGGAAAGATGATTGTAGTATTGTCAGCTCTTGCCTGTCAGGAGATAAATGTTGATCTAATTAGACAAAACAAGTCTCTATATGAGCTGAGAGGGGAAGAGAGAAGCAGAGGAAAGCTGCATCTGACAACTTTGAGCATGACTAACTGTCTTTATGGAAGATGTTGACATAGTTATATGACTGAGTTGCTATTAGGCATTTACCTTGTCACTCTTTGACCCTGGCCTTGAGTGCAAAACCTGATCCATAGTTGTGTTTTCTGAAAAATGAGACCAGCATCATTGATGCTCTTAGAAATGGAGGTGTATTATTGCAGTAGAAAGCCAAGAAAATGTGAGCAGGTCTATATTTATTCACACATTGTTCCATATGTTTTATGCTGTTCCTGTGGGCTCACTTTCATTATGCTACATATGTGTTCACAAAACATGGGAATGTCCTCATGGCAAGGGTTTGAGGTGTAGAATGTGGTGCAAGCATTGGGAAGGGTGAGAAGGGTTTTCAGGTGATAGAATCAGCATGTCAACTGGATGATTGTGATTTAAGGAAGCTGACAATAAAAGGGAGCCTATGTTGATGTTAATTCTTCTTTTTCTTGTCCCCAAATCTTCAGGAAACAATTATCTGGTATATTATGCCAAAGGAGTTGAAAGGTTGTGTTTGTAATGAAAATGGTAGTACCTCCAAAGCAACGAGGTGACCTATATTCAGTTTAACATCTTCCAGGAGCCAACAAAGCTCCTGTTCTTTAGAGCCACTGAGAGATAAGGCACTCAAAGCCCAGGGAGTGTTCAGTCTGTGTTACTCTTTAGAGAACAACAAACATGTGTTGGGTTGATGCTATGTGGTGTGTTTGTTTTTTTTTTACCACCAGAAGGACTGTAGTAAGGTCATTTTGCTTTCATCTCTGTTTGGCTTTGTGTGGGTGTGTTTGTTTTGTTCTATTTTTTTTAGTAGGCTATAGGCAGCCAAGGCTCTATATTCATTTTATGCTGCACTCTGAGAATTAACAGTTTCATGTAAAAGAGCCATCTTCTCTCTAAGGCAGATGTAGAAACTACTGTGGCTTTAAAGTGCTGTGAACAAGCAAGTTGCTGATGTGTGCTCTTAAAGAGTATTTGCTTTTCTCTTAGAGAACAAGTGCAAAGACTCCCCTTTTTCCTGCCTTGGTAGCTGAAAATGGGACAATTGCTGTGTGGCACTAGGAGCCCTTGGTAGAGCTCCCAGAGGCTTGTGTTATAGTGCATGAAAGTCTCTACATCAGAAAAGAGATAAAAAATTTCTTCATTCTCTCCAAAAGCTCTTGTTTTTGCTGATTCACACAGCCTCTTGTGTGAGGTAGATAGTTGGGTCTAGAAGCCTTTTATTTTTCCTTCCTCCCTATATGTCATAAACCTGATTTTCTACTTTGGATGTCACACTGCCACAAAAGAGGGGAATTTGTCTGTCTCTTCTTCTCCTGCTTGCCATTGCCTCCTCAGCC